GCCTTGGTGAGTCTGCATCTGAAGTCTTGTGTATGTAAGGTTCTTGAGTAGATCTGTAGCTCAGGTTGTGGATGCTGTGGTTGGTTGGCTCGCCGAACTGGTTCGCAGACGTGTCATTACCCTGCTGGGTAACATCATCACTGCAGACTCCGATGAAGCGCTGTTGTGTTTTCCCGCCTGTTATTTAAAATCCGGGGTCCATTGGATTAGATTACCTCATTTCCGGTTTTTCTTCGCAGTGGTGTATATAAAGTGTCTAGCTCTATGTGCTTGTTGATGGCCTTCTTGGTGGAGAACCACGCCTCTAGGAATTCCTGTGCTTGTCTCTGTTTGGCCTGTGCTAGGATCCTGGTGCTGTCCCAATTGAATTGGTGGTTGTCCTTATCCATGTGAATGGAGATGAGTGAGTACTGGTCGTATTTTTTTGTTGCTAGATGGTGTTCATCAACAAACATGTACAACTGTATAGTTTTGGCCTCCCTAATAGGAGATACTTGATATAGAGGGACTGCAGCAAAAGTTCATAGACTCATATTGGGGACGGCAGGAGCATTCTATGAGGAGAGACTGGTTTGACTGGGCCTGTATTCACTAGAGTTTAGAAGAATGAGAAGGGAACTGATTGAAACATATAAAATTATTAGAGGACTGGACAGACTAGATATAGGGAGAATGTTTCCCTTAGAACTAGGGCCACAGTCTCAGGATTTGGAGTCGGTCGTATACGATTGACATAAGGTAACATTTCTTTACTCTGAGGGTGGTCAATCTGTGGAATTTGCTAGCACAGAAAACTATGATGTTTGTGTCACTGTATCTATTAAAGAAAGAGATTGATATATTTTCAAATGTTAGAGGCATCAATGGGTATGGGGAGAAGCAGAAATATTGTACTGAATTGACCAAATAATGTTGAAAGGTAGAGCACTCTCAAAGGCCTACATGTGCTTCTGGTTTCGACAATACAGCTCTGTGGAGGATACTGTTAGGCAATATTAACACAGTCATTTTTGAATGCCTGTCTGCAGGAGTCTTCTCTGTCACACCATGGACTGTTCAGCTCTCACCAGTATAGCTGTAGTGTGTGCTCTCAATGGACAAAAAGCAATGGAAATTTCTGATTACAAAAGAAAAGTGATTAAAATGCTTGAGAAAAACCAAGAACTGGAAGTACTATACTGAATATCCACACAACTGTAGAAGAAGAGGCAGTGGAACTGGGAGGCATGGATTCAGGTCATGAAATCACAGTTGGTGAGACCAAGACAGTAAGTGCCCTGGTCGATGCACAAACATGTTCCAGATTATGAGTAGTCAGAAAGACGAGTCGATTCTCAAGGCCCCAAACAACTGGAGGATGACTGCCAATGTCATCAAAGACTATGGAGCAGGAAGTTGGCACGCCATTTTTTATGTCATCTGACATTGCATTCACAAGTGGTTAAGAAAGTCCAGCTAGCTCTATTTGGATTTCATTGGGTTAATTGTATATTTAGATGTCACCTTGCTGATTAATTGTTGATAATGAATTTTAACACACTACACCACTGACTGGTTCCTTCATTTATTCATATATGACTGGTCCATCAGCAGATTAATGGATAATGGGTGCGGTGAGAAACAGCACACTGAATGACATCAATGTATTTCCCAAGACTGAGACTCACATGATTATAACTTCTGATCTGTAACATTTTAAGGATTTTCAAGAAAAGGACAACAGGCTACAGCAGCTAGAAGATTTACTTTATTAAATTGGTATGTGGGGAAGGTTTGTGAGAAACTTCTCTATAGCTGTGAGTCATCAGATGCTCTCACACATATCATACTACCTTTTGCCTGTGCTCCTTTGAAGTCGTCACTGTACAATGCCTGGACACCATCCTTCTCCATATCCTTATCCTTGAAGGAAGTATCATGCCCCAAGTTGACCGCATTGTTCAACACTTCTCTGTATTTTAGCACGAGCTTTTGCAGTGAACAGCTGACCACAAACATACACAATACCTTTGCTGGAACATATTGAGAGGGTGCGGTGGGTAAGAGCTCTGTGAGCCACATCTCCAGAAGCAATAGCTCACACGATGGTCACTTGAGTTGTCCTATGGCACCAACTGCATCTCTCCTCTGCATTTGTACTTAGTCCTCGACAGTCATAAAGCGCTAAAGGAGCACCTGAAATGGCCAGGTATGTCGGATTACTGAAATATAACGGCATCCTCACAGTTTCCCAGGAACCTTGTACAAACCTGAAAGATCCTTTTGTAGTGCTCTCACACACTCATGCATTGAGAAAGAGGATATTTTAGTTAATGGAGGCTGCTGTGTACTCTCTGGAAGCCTTCAGGACCATATACATGTCATCAATGATGGTCCTGATTCCAACAGGATTCTCAGTCTGACTGTCCAGGTATGTGTATCAGCATATATATTGACCGACCCTCTTCAATAGAACATTGGTTAATGCGGAAACTTAATGGGGGAAATGAGCTACAGAATATGTGATTCCATAGATATCAATAATGGATTCTGGGAATGATCCTGAGGTGTAGAGATTCAGCACAACAGACTGAATCACTACAACCTGGGGAGTGTACCATTTCCCATTGGTCTCGGATCCTCTCCCATCACATTGTACAGTCTCACTGGAGAGGCACAATCTTTGGCAACACTGCTGCTCCAGCATTTGTGGAAAGCAGGGCCTTGAAAGTAAAACCTTTCTGGTGGATGGTGTGTTCTATGCAAGAGGCTGGTACTTCTGTGCCTTTTTTGTCCTTCCAGCCCCTGATCCTGCTGCCTGAGTGCTGCAGTCCTATTCCCATGGCTGCTGCACCTTCCCTTTGTGATGTTCCTAACTGGAGATCTCAAGATCTTACTGAAAGGGGCACACTGAAAATTGTTGCAATCAGTTCTCAGGGCCTTGAACCCCAAACTCCAAGCATACAACTGCTAAGTCAAAGAGAACACTCAATCAGGATGCCTCCATTGTGTCAGTTAGATTTGGTTAGCCTCCAGGTTGGTATTGCCACTGCCTACTCTTTTTCACCCTCCCTACAGCTACCACTTACAATGGCTGTTGACTACAGTAACAACTGATCTTCAACTGAACATCCACTTGAGGTTGTTGACCTGCTCACCGAGCTGGCATGTTTTGGTTCAGACAATTCATCACCATGCTAGGTGATATCATCAGTGGAGCCTCCGATGGAGTGATGTTATTCTACTCCACTCGGAATTTATACTGTCCGGTCCGCTATGGTGAGTAGTGTCATTTCCAGTTTTGATCTGTATGGGTTTGTATATGGGGTCCAATTCTATGTTTGTTGATTGCATTATGCATTGAGAACCATGCCTCTAGGAATTTCCGTGTGTGTCTATGTTTGGCTTGGGCTACTATTGTTACCTTGCCCCAGTTAAACTGATGGCCTTCATTGTCTGAGTGTATTGATATTAAGGAGAGTTCATCATGTCATTTTGCTGCTAGCTGATGTTCATGTATTCTGATGTCTAGTTTCCTTCCTGTCTGTCCGATGTAATGTTTGTGGCAGTCGTTGCATGGTATTTTGTAAACCACGTTGGTTCTGCATGTTGTTGGAATGGGTTCTTTAATCCTTGTTTGTCATAGAGTGGCTGTGGGCTTGTGCGCTATCATGAGCTCTAGTGGTTGCAGGAATCTCGTTGTCAGAAGGTAGTTTACAAAATACCATGCAATGACTGCCACATACATTGCGTCGGACAGACAGGAAGGAAACTAGCCTTGAGAATACATGAACGTCAACTAGCAACAAAACTGCACAACGAACTCTCCTTAATACCGGTACACTCAGACAATGAAGGCCATCAGTTTAACTAGGGCAACATAACCATAGTAGCCCAAGCCAAAAATAGACACACACAGGAATTCCTAGAGGCATGGTTCTCCAACAGTAATGCACTCAACAAACATATAGAATTGGACCCCATATACAAACCCATACAGATCAAAACCAGAAATGACAGTATTCACCATAATGGACCAGACAGTATAAATTCCAAACGAAGTAGCATAACATCGCTTCGTCAGAGGCCTCACTGATGATGTCACCTAGCATGGTGATGAAATGTCTGAATGAGAACAAACTATCTCAGCGAGCAAGTCAACAAACTCACCCACAAACTGAGCTACAAATCTTTGCTAAAACCTTGAACATCCACTTCCTTAGAGCTGGCAAAGATGAAGTCCTGTTTCTCTCATGCTCCAAAATATAAAATCTGTGGTGTAAAGTAGCTTTTCAAGACCCAACTGTTTAGCAGGTATAATTACCTTCCCATTGCCTTTAATTATGACTTCTACCTGCCAGAATGGCCTCCTGTGGGATCTACCCTCCCCAACAGCAGGAACACATCAGGTTTCCCTCCTGACGCCATTTTACCATTATTCTGCTGTTCCACCTACCTCTCAGCCATCTTCAATTCTCACAAAACCCTGGCCTAAATCTCAATATATCTTGGCAACATGGACCACTGGGAGAATGTATAAATTATTGTATAAACATTACAGTACTATAAATCACTTCTTAAAAAAAGAATCAGTGTAGTATATTTTCTACTTCACTTTATTTTATAGGCCATTGGTGTGTTTACAACTTATAGTTGAGAATCTTTTTGACAAGATTCTCAAGTGTAATACACTAATGCGCGTCTTAAAATTAGTTAAGGTTAAGAGACTGACTGAACTGTCTTGCAGTTTTATCAAATTAGATCAAGATCCCAATCTAAGTAATTATATTGAATCAAAGACCTTTCCAACTTATAAAAAGCAAGGTATTAAAAGGCTGTGTCAGTGTTATATGATTTCCTTTATAAAAGCTGTAAACAATGTCCTGTATAATCAAAAGATATGTTCATAAATTATATATTTTAAAATTTTAAACAAGCTGACATATTCCTGGATTTATCTCAAGTAATTTATCTCTGGAGTATTTACAAAATTTTCAAATATCTCTTAGTATAATTCTTACCATCAGTGTACTTAATGACTCGAATGGTGGAATCACCTTCTCCAAATCGTGTGATCGGTGTCAAGCGAACTTCATAGGCCTCAGGCTTCAGTAGTTCAGTCAAGTTGTGTGTGATTAATTCTCCTGATTGGATCATAGTATTCATTGAAATTTCTTGTTCCCACCAACGCTGTTGGCCAGTCTGAAAATAAAGTGAGCAATAACACTGATCAGGAAACTGGGAATCACTTCAACAGACTTTTTGTTGTCAGCGTCGTTCAGAAAACTGACAAGAAGTGAAAAAAAAAAGTTGAATTTGGCATTAATAAATGTCAAAATTTTCTGTTCCACTAAAACTCAGAATCAAGAACAAGTCGAAGCTGAGCCAGATTTCTGCCTGTGCTGTTGGTCAGAGATAAATCTGAATTTATCTGGTAGGATGATTTTCAAATCTTGATGGAGAGGCAGTGGAACATGCACCAAGGAGGTGCTGTGAGAGACACACAAGCTATAATGGCGGAGTCACAGGAAAACAGATTAAGAAGACCATAGAGGCTGGTATGGAAGCCTGAAGGCAATTGCAAAGGTACCCATGCTTGTATTACTTCTAGACCTGACTACTGAAACGAAGGTACAATGAAGGTGGACTCTGGAAATCTGAAACAAACAAGAAGCATGTTGGAAAAACGCAGCAGGATTGGCAGTATCTAATGGAGTGAGAAAAACAGAGATAACATTTTAAGTCCAGTATGACTCTTCCTCAGAAATGATCACCCAGACTATTTCTTCTTCTCCTGATTACTGCAATGTACTCCTAATTGGCTTCCCAAATTGTACTAATTGTAAACTTGAAATCATTTAAGGACTTAATTTCAGTTCTGACTTGCTCAAAATCTTGTCCCCTCATTACCCTGTGCTCACTGACCTAACTACGACGCATCCCAGTTAGACGAACCCTCAATTATGAAATTCTCATTGAATCTATCTGAGAGATTCATCTCCTCTCCTTCAATTCACTTGTTTTAAGGTTCCTTGGTTTTAATCCCTCTAATATTGGTGACTGTGTTTTTAGCCACCTGGGCCTATCCTATGGAATTCCTCTCCAGGCCTCTCTATGTCTCCAACACCCTTCCTCTCTTCAAGACACTGCTTTAAACTTACCTCTTTGATGCTTTTGGTCATTGGCTCTGATACAGTATCAAATTTTGCTTCATTTTGTCTGTGAAGCTCACAATGATGTTTTGTTATGTAAAAGGTGTTACATTCATGCAAGTTGTTGTTGGAACAAAGAGTGAAAAGACAGAGAAATTGCAAATGAATTCGAATTAATTTGCTGAAAGATGGGAAGCGCATGGAAACCAGCAACACAAAGAGTGAGGGTGCAAGCTGCAGAACTTTGGTTGAACAGGAGTTACATATTGAAGAACATTGGGAAATGAGAAGTGTTCAGAAATTTGAGTCTTCAGGTAATCTAAGGTTTTAACAATTTAAGAGGTGACTGACAATAGCTGCATTGAGGGAATGTTGCAGCAATGAAAGTATGTTGCTGTTTTGGTGAATGGGATATAGAGTCAATGGGTCAGCTCTGGTCTAACTTGGGCACTGAGACAGTGTCTGGTTTTACCTGACCGAGCACAGAAGGAAAGGAAGAAAGTTAAGAGTTGAGATCTTGGCAGCAACTGAATTACATGACTTTACGCACTTCTAGTCATAGTGTCATATTGCATGGAAACAGACCCTTCAGCCCAACTTATCCACACCGACTGTGTTCCCAAACTAAACTAGTCCCACTTGCCTGCATTTGACCCATATCTCCGCAAACCTTTCCTTTTCATGTACTTACCCAAGTGTCTTTTAAATGTTGTAACTGTACCTGTATCCACCACATCATCTGGCAGTTCATTCCACACACTAACTACTCTCTGTGCAAAAAAGTTGTACTTCGTGTCCTTGTTAAAACTTTCTCCTCACACCTTAAAAATATGCTTCCTAGTTTTGAACTCTCCCACCCTAGGGAAAAGACACTTGCTATTCACCTTATCTATGCCCCTCATGATTTTATAAAGCTCTATAAGATTACCCTCAATCTCCTATGCTTAACAGAAGGGATGGACCATATAATGATGGGGCCAGGAAATTGGTGATACCCAAATGGCCAAAACTGGAGGAGTACAAAGAATAATGCAGAGACTGGAGACATTTATTCAGATCCCCAAAATGAGCTGGAGAACTAGCTGTGATCAACAAGTAGCCATTCAATTAGGAATTAAACAGTGAGATCAACTTGCAATGTGTTTAATCACATGGAGAGAAGTTTAACAAGTCTGGTTCTTCCTCAGAAGTTCTGGAGAGAGATCTCTCAAGCCAAGACATTGTCTCTGGTTTCTCTCCATGGATGCTGCTGGACCTGCTGAGCTTTTCCAGCAATTTCTAGTTTTGCTTCTGATTTACAGCATCTGCAGTTCTTTTGGTTTTTATTTTCCTAGCTACCATCAGATCTGAGGAAGGGTCACTCAACCCGAAACATTAACTCTGATTTCTCTCCACAAATGCTGCCAGACCTGCTGGGCTTTTCCAGCAATTTCTGTTTTCATTTCTGATTTACAGCATCCGCAGTTCTTTCAGTTTCTAACAAGTCTGGAGTGTGGTGGAATACTCTTCACATGCCTGGATGGTTATTGTTCCAAGCTCATTCAAGAAGTTCTGCTCAAGTTTAGGACAAAGGAGCTCAGTTGATTGACATCTCATCTATCATCAGAAGGAAACATTCCCCCTCCCAATGGAGTACCATGGCAGCTGTGTGTACCATCTACAGGATGCAATGCAGCAACTTATCAAGGTTTCTGTAGCATGACCTTCTGAACCCATGACCTCACCATCTAGACACATGCAACACCATCACTTCTAAGTTGTCCACCTTTGTGACTTGAACTTATATTACTTCATCATTGCTGAATCAAAACTCCAGAACTCTATATTTAACAACACTTCACTTGACGAAGGAGCAGCACTCCAAAAGCTTCTGATTTCAAATAAACCTGTTGGACTATAAATTAGTGGTGTGACTTCTGACCTTGTCCACCCCAGTCCAACACCAGCACCTCTACATCATAACAACACTTTGGCAGCACCTTCATCACAAGCACAGGAGCAGTTAGAAAAGGCAGTATACCACCCCCTTTATAATTGCAATGTGGGATGGACAAATGTTGGTCATGCCAATAACGCTCACATTCTGGGGATGAACTATTCAGTAAAAAACAATTTGAAGGCCAATGTCTCAGAATACAGGTTCTAAAGTCATAAAATTTTAAATATGATTTTATAAACCTCTATAAGGTCAACCCTCAAACTCCTTCGCTCCAGTGAAAAAAATCCCAGCCGATCCAGGCCCTCCTTACAACTCAAACCCTTCATTCCCGGCAACGTCCTAGTAAATCTCTTCTGAACCCTGTCCAGTTTAATAATCTCCTTCCCATAACAGGGAGACCAGAACTGGACATGGTACTCCAGAAAAGGCCTCACTAACATCCTGCACAAGCTCAACACGGCATGGTATATTACTTCTTAACCACCCTGGTTATGCAAATCTCATACAATTATGAACCTGAATGCCTCAGCCTGTCTGTCCTAGGTGATGGCCTAATGGTATTAAAACTGGACTGTTAATTCAGAGACCCAGGTAAAGAGCTGGGGACCTGGATTCGAATCCCACCACAACAGATGTTAGAATTTGAATTCAATAACAATCTAGAATTAGGATTCTCATGATGACCATGAAAAACGTATCTGGTTTACTAATGCCCTATAGGGAAGGAAACCGCCTTACCTGGTCTGGTCTACATATGACTCCAGACCCATAGCAATTTGCTTGACTCTTAACTGTCCAGAGACAGTTAGGGATGGGGAATAAATGCTGGCCTCGCTGGCATTTCCCTCATCCTGTGATTTAATTATAAGAACCCTAAATCCCTACTTTTAATTGTATAAGTCTTGCCTTTGTTTGTTTTACCAAAATGCAAGACCTTGCATGTATCCAAATTCAACTCCATTTGTCACTCTTCAGTCAATTGACCTAATTGATCAAGATTGCTTTGTAATCTTAGATAATCCTCTTCACTGTCCACTATAGCACAAACCTTGGAGTCATCTGCAAACTTACTGCCATGCTTCCTAAAATCTCATCTAAATTATTTACATATATAAATATATATAAATATAAATATATAATTAATATATAAATATATTATTTATAAATTTATTTATGACAAGCAAAAATGGACCCAGCACCAATCCCTATAGAACAATGCATGTCACAGGCCTTCAGTCCAAAAAACAACCCTCCATCATCATTCTCTGTCTCCAGCTGTTAAGTCAATTTTGTATCCAATTGGCAAGCTCACCCTGAATCTTATGTGATCTAACTTTACTAATGAGTCTTCTTTACAGAAATTTGTCAAAGGCTTTATTAAAGTTCATGAAAGTTAACATCTAATGCTCTGCCCTCATCAATCTTCTTGGTTACTTCCTCAAAAATTTCAATTATGTTTATGAGACATGATTTCTCTGTGGTTAGGATGCTGCCAAAGCATTCCTACAAGCAATGACACCAGGATTGCATAACAGAGCGCACGCTCTCTAGCCACTGAAAAAGTGTTACAATGCTCGTTTTCACATGAAATGTGACAGATTTTAAAGTTTTGAAAATTCAGGAGTAGGATTGACGGAATGTGCCAATGTCAGCTTCCCAGTTGCAGTAGTTTGCTTGTCTGGGTTCTAAAGAAGCTCAGACTTTCATTTGGGACAAATGAAGCCTGTTTGGTTAAAATAAGTGAGACCCTGTATAAA